TTATATATAAATAAGTAAAAACAGGTTGTTACTTGCATTCAGAAGAAAAAGAGCAAGTGTCAGATTTGCTCTAGTGCTTGGTGAGCCTCCACCTGCTCTTGGGACAGTCCCAGCAGAGCGAGTATGCTGGCTCTGTTTCCCCTCTCACTAACTAAACAAAGCTGCCACATGTAAACATGGAGTTTTGTGATGCCTCAAACAATACCAGCAAAAAGGAGCCTCAAGCAAGTCCCACTGACATACAAGTAAGGCACCAGGAGTGAGGATTTTACTGTTCCTGGAAATGCAGACTGTGTGTATATTGAATATTTGCTTGACTTTTTCAAGAGGAAACTTAACAAAAAAAGTTACCTGAGGAGTTCAGGGAAAGAAAATGAGACCTTAAACGAAGGAGGTGGCCATGCCTGGTGTGATTCCTGTACAATCAACCCCCATTAAATGAGAATACAAACATTCATTTTAAAAGCTTGACTCAGGTAGTGAAAGACTAAATACATTTCAGCTATCAGGCACACCAGGATAAATTTCTCTTTCATGGAAAGCTGTGGGTATCTAATAGGTTAGAAGCAGAAGCATTTGTCTCACGATTTATTTCTGCTGGAGAGAAGATTTGCTTCTGCTGCTGAAAGACCTGTTTACTTATTTATTAAATTTCATTCAACTCTTTCTTCAGGGCAAGCTTTTTCTCTTTCTCCTCTGCTGGATCCTATTGAACAACAGTAGCAACAAGGAAGGCAAACCTACTAAAATAAAAGTATACATACACACAGAAAAGGGGAACAGGAGCAACTCTGAGACATTCAATATTGCTAAGCACTGTGTGATGAAGAGTAGGGTCTGTAACAGAGAGAAATTCAGGAATAATCTTTCTAAGCTCTTGTGAAATTATTTTCACAGCAGTTTAAACAAATAAATAAGGAAACATGAAAGATAATAACAAGGAATGGTTGTTTCTACCCTGTCAGCTTTGGAAGGGGCATCTCTGACGTGCTAGAGGAGGTGGAATCTAAACCATACCAGAACTAAGAAGCACTGCAGAGTTAACTGAAACAGGTAAGATCACTAACTAAACTTACAGGGACAAGACTTTGGCATGCTTGATTAGCTCAAAAGATGTATTAATACTGATTAAACACCTTGCTTAATTTGTGCTTTACAGTAAATGAAATGAAAATTGCTATATAATTAGAAAACATCAAGACAAGCTAAGGAGTTACATCTGTTTGCCATGTAAAAGTTCTGTCTTGCCTTAGAACACATGGGACGTGCAAGACCATCAAGACTAATGACGATGTTCCAAAAGATTAAAAGCCATAGCAGCATTAATAATAGATGCTGAAAGATTCATTGTACTCAAAATCACTTTAAGGAATAGAACCTTCACATTTGTAATATTTCATTATCGTCTCAAAGCAAAACCCAAAATACTCCATTATACCTCAATATACTATATACATTTTGGAATGCAATCTAGCTACAAGATGTGAAAGGGACAGCAAGCGTCTAAGAACACTGATTAAATGTTAACTGGACCTTTACAGCCACATATAACTCATGATACCTGATACGATTAAAACCAAGTATTAATTTAAGGAAATCATGTTAAGAGCTATCTTTCACATTCCTTAGTGTATTTTATGAACCAGCTCCTGCGCTTCTGAAGTTGAAGGAGCTTCGTCATCAATTCCTCCAGCAGCAGGACCTGCTCTGCTCAGAGCAAGCTTTGCTCCTCTGGGAGTCGGGCACACATACCTGGCAATATGAGGATGTCCACGAGGGGCTTGCAGTGATAGAGACCTGTTGCCATGACACAGTCTGCCCACAGCCCCTTGGACCCCAGCTCATCCATTTTCCTGTGGGTGTAGCCGCAAGTCACCACCCAGTCATTGGTGGCTGTTGCCACAACCACCCCAATCCACCCTATAAAACTGCAGACAAATCCGGCCAGGTGCAGGCAGGTGGCCACCATGTTGATCCCTTGGTGGGGCAAGCAGGACGGGAGAGCACCCGCGGGGGTTCAGCGAAGGCGGCCGGCGAGCTTCCAGCTGCGGATCTGGGCTGCTGGGACTTGCTGTGAGCAGGAGGGATGGGGGTTTGGTAGGACGAGGTCTCTGATCAGGCACTGCTGCAAGCACTCACTGCCTCTGCCCAGCACCGTCCCTGGGAGGGGTTAGAGCTGCCTCCAGCCCTATAACACATGGGAGGAGCAAGCGGGGAGCCCCAACTTCTGCCAGTTCATCGAGAGAGTCAGAGGGGAAGGAGGGTGTGGAGAGGAGGAGATGCAGAATTACACCCACCCATGCCTGAAAAACAAACCAGGCTGCTTTATTCAAACGCAAACAGTCTGACTATTCAAAATATAGCATAAAGGGAGAAAAATTAAGGCAGTGTTTTCGGGCTGAAGACAAATGATCACACTGGTACCTCTTCATGGAAAAATATAGGGCAAGAAACACGGTGAACAAAGTTACTCGAAAGGTGGAATTGATCATCTCATCAAAGCCTGCTTTACTGCACAGCTGCAGTAAAAGGATAAAATCATTCTCGAGTTTTTCCCTGATGTTTCTAGTAACTGCAAAAACATAAGAGACCACTGCACTCTCTGCTTGTGCCTGGGTTTTCAGAAGTATTAATTAACACTCACGGACTCTTAAATATGTGTTTAACAGCACCTATTTCCACTTCTGAATGCTAAAATTAGAATAAGACACTTTTTACTTGGATTCATTATAGGTGTGAATTTTAGTCTACTTGATAGAACCAGGAACAGCCCACTTCAAAATGTCAAAAGAAGAGAAACTTCACAGCCCGCTCTGCATCAGGAGAAATAGGCAGGCAGGGAATTTTCCTGTCTTTACTTTGTACTTTCACAGACACATATAAATGTTAGCGTGTGCCAACACATCCCTAATGAAATTTCATCACTATTGTCCTCCAGTGCTCCTGACTTTGCTAAGGGAAGGTTTGGATCTATGCAGATAAAACATGCCTGGAGAGACCACTAGTGGAGAGTTGTCCCCACTGCACAGAGGAAGGGGAAAACTGGACAAGAAAATGGGAGAACAATAGATTTGATTCATTCCTAGAGCTGTTGATGAAAAAGAAATACTGGAAGCTACACTCCAAGATTTTTTTATTATTATTATTCTTTACTGAACATCAAGTGCTGGGAAAGAAATCTATCCTGCTTTTCATCCAACAGTATTTTATCCCATTCTTTAGCAAATAAAGTGAAAAACATCACCAAGATCATCCTGAGCTCCATCACATATTCCTTACATTCAGAATTCAAGGACATGAGGCCACAGCTTGTTTCTTCAAAGCTCCATCTAAACACTGGAGTTACAACATAAATAGTTGAAAATTACCTTTGGAGAGTAGCTTTTGTAACAAATAAACATGTAATAGTTGTTTTTGGTTTATATTGTGGGCTACTCCTTACGTGGTTTATGTATTTTTGTGAAGCCTTGCTGCCAGCTGGCCTTTCATTGACTTTCCCAATGTGATTCCACCTTTCTGTGTAGCTTGTTCTTCCACTGCACCCACTCCAGGTGAAGCCTGCTGTTCCTTATACCCAAGCACCATTTTCATGTTGTCAAGGGTTTGATTCTAGATGGATTTAATCTTTCCCAAAACAGTATTTCTGCTTATTTGTTCTTCGGGAGATACATTAGTCGTCTCTCAAGTGAAACAAGTGTTGTTCCATTTCTTGGACTGCACAATAGTGTTGGACTGATCACACACCACCTCCTGAATTTGGAAGGACACAAGCTGACAAACGGATACGTTCCTGCCTCTCCCCTTTGCTGATACAGTTTGCATTTTTTCAAGTCTAGAATTTCATCATTCTGTATATTAAACATCTGATCTGTTTGTATCAAATGTAAGTGTACACAGCTTAACACTGCTTTTTGATTAATACCAGGAATAAGGATACTTAACCACTTTGGGATGAGCAATCCCAGCCTCTGTTGTCTAACAGGACTGCCTCCACACAGTCCTTTGGAATTAAACCCCATGCATATTCTCTGAAATCACACTAATACTTAGTGTGAACATACTTCAAAGCATTTTGCGTTTCTTCAAAATACCAGAAAATTTTGCAACATCTTGATATCCCATTTTACTCCGAAGCTGAGATTAGAAGTATTTTACATGGTAATTATGCCGGCACATCCTAATGCATAAAAAAAAAGACTTTTGCAAATACTGTGAGATATTAATTCGCAGGCTGTGGGCACATCCTACCATAATTCAGTCTCCTACAGTTATGGTTTTATTAACCACAAAAGCTTTTAACACTGCCACGTTTTCCTTTACAAAAGTATTTTATTTTTCAAGGAGTATGCAGCAGCTCAACAGGGAAGAAGTAAATTTTACATGTTAGTAGCTAGTATAGTTCAACAGTACTCGACCTGGTGCCCAGTTTGAAATACTTTGTTAATGTGGCTAGAGACAGGAAACATATACAATTTTGTCAGTGTTATAAATAACCACCGATATTTAAGTGAATAGAAGTATGCTACAAGTGAACAATGATTCACAAGATCAGTAAAATAAGAAACAAAGAAGAATGATTTCCCAGCTATATGCTAAGTAAACTGATGCACTTAGAGAAATGTCCTTAAAACTTGCTATTTATGTATCTATTTATTTCAGGAAGTGTGAACGGCTTAAAAATCAATCTTTCTACCCTCTCACTCCAGCAGATTTCCCTTGATCAGCAGAATTGTTTTCTCTGACAAATGACTTGCATTGCAATTAGTCATACTTACACAAGTTATCGACACCCTACAGCTTTTTCTTGCGCAAAAACTCACCTTAAACTTTCTTTTTGCAGGTTTTTCACCCTGATAGCTTCTCCCTCACTTGGTAATACAGCAGGATAAAAACACAACGTAGGATGCAGAAGTCAACAGGTTTAAGTGGTACAGCTAGTTGTTAATTTTCTTCCATACTAAGGGCTGAGCTCATCAAAATATTACCAAATTCATCTTCAGTCTGGTTCATACCGCTCATTTCTCTCTTCAGCTGTAAAACACAGGCAAGTACATAGTAACGTTACTATGTTTGCAATAACCTGAAACATAATCAGGATTTCCTATATGCAAGAGCAGTACCTTGAAACAAGGACAAAGTGGTTTTGCTCTGATTTGAGGAGGAAAAATATCTAGTGTATGTGACCGCACTTGTGTATTTGTCAGGAAAAACCTCTCTATGAATAAAATAACCTAGAAAATCCCATAAATATCACTTGTAGTAAAAGTTATTTTTTACTACAACGTAGGGGGATTTTAAGTCACCAAGAGAGTAGAGCTTGCTGTTGTAAGCGGTGGAAGCTCAGCCTAAATGGAAGACCCATTCACACACAGCTTACAGGAACAGCTCCCACTTTCCTCCTGGCCACCTCCTGTCTCCTATTCTCAATTTTCTGTTATTTAGGCTACCTGATGGTACGTAAAAACATTAAGCAATGTAATCATAATTTACAAAAACTAAGAACTCCTGAGAGTCACTGTAGGGCATGTTTTCCACCAGCAGTATTTTTTCAGCCAATTCAGTAGAATTCTCGTTTCTGATTTTACCTTTGTATAGTCTTTTCTCTGGTTAAGTGTGGTTTTTATCTTGCTCATTACTAAGCTATTAAAGGTGTGAATAACTCAAACATTGCTGGAACAGTCAAACAACAACAAAAGCTGTGCACCAAAGTACAAGCCAAATACGCAAGTGGTGGTATTTACATGTATAAACACGAAATCTATGTTAAGATACACAGAAATCTTAGTGTCAATAATCTCTTTGTAGAGCCATAAATGCTTTAGATGGAGAGGGCAGGCAATTGTCTTGTTGATTTTGCTAAAAATACCCTTTAGAAAACTGGGACCTGCTGCAGGCAGCGGGAGTTGTGCAAACAAGTTTCAGTGTAATCAGGGTTCAATTTACCATATTCAAAGCAAGGAAGAGTCTGTGCTGTCAAACACCATCCAAGAAGTCAAGTTTAGAAGTCAATGTTTAAAAACATCACGGACAAGTGTTCTGACATTACAGTTCTTTATTTGTTTTTTGAATCCACAATCTATACAGGTATTTACAAGGCATGAAAATGGATAACAGCACAAAATACAATTGAGGTATAAGCTAAGAGCACAGTATGTCATGTTTCAATAAATATAATTCAAAATTTGTAAACTAAGTGACCAGATAGATGCATCTTGTTTACTAAAACCATATAAAATATCTGTTAAATCTCACGTGAGGTAGAGGACAGTTTTGTGTGTCATGTAATGCAACCACAGCAACTCTTAACAGTATGACTGTACATCATTGGCAAAGTATTAAAAATTGTTGAATGCACCAATCGTTTTTCATAGGCTTTTACTATGGTTTCAGAATAGTCATCCAACCTGTTGCCTTGAGCTAACAGAGACTGTTGTTTTGCAGCTACTTTCTGCAATTTGGGATAATTATATACTGGCGTGTCAACATCAATACTTTCAAGAGAATGAAAACACAAAAGCAGATTTTGTCAATCACAGAAAGCAACATAACGGCAACAAAGTATTTTTGACCAATTTTTTATTATTTCCTAGAATTAGTTTAAATACAATACAGCTGTGCTTTCCTTTAAGTGAGGTATCTATACTCCAAGAAAAAAAAATCAATTGATATTGTTACATTTAATCAATTTTCAAATAGCAAAATTTTATACCATTTGTTTGCTGTGCTTGATGAAGTGCTTAAAACTCATTTTTCAAGCATTTTCCAACTGAACCACTAACCCTGAAAAACCACAATTTTCTAAGTAATGGAGACACAATACAAAATGGTCGTGCAAGTTGTAAGCAGTAACTGCTACCGCAAAAGATAAAAAAACCCTGATGTCTCTTTGAAATATGCAACAAATTGAAAATTCTACAGTTTCTGTAATGAAAACTGATGAATACTCACACTGCCAATGTAATGAGCAAA